CAATTGCTGGATTAATAATCTTATTCTGCTCTCTGTCCCCTAGAAAGCACCCCAGCTTGAAATGGGAAGATACGAACTCCCAATATCCCTAATTTATTTCCAGGAATAATAAGAAATGGCACCAACCGAATCCGTTAATCAGCCAGATCCCTACATCCGCCAAGCTTCTGCATATGTTACTGCATTTCACCTGATGACTGCTACCTGGCAGATTGGACGGTGTGTTGGGGAAGACAGACTTGTCTACACGTAACAGGAAGAGGCTGCACGTGGGAGTAGCCTCAGGATTTGGATTGGGAGCTTTAGTGGTTGGTGTGTGGGTGTGAACAGCTGTATGGTCTCCTTAGCACTCCTGGCCCCAGTAGACAGTTCTGCTGTGGGCTGCAGATAAGGTTGCTCATGAATTGAGGGCTTTGGTTTCTGACTTTATTGAATTACAGTGTATGAAAAGAAAATGTGTAGCTTACCAATTTCAGCTTGTTGAATTTTCAGAAGCTCAACCTGCTTCCATAACCAGCACCCACATCAAGAAACAACCTTAGCAGCATGACCAAAGTCTTCTTCCTGCTCCGTCTGGCCGCTCCCCTCCTCCCTGCCCCCCAACAGGGACTCCTGTCCTCACTTCACAGCCTAGATGCTTTTTGCCTCTTAAGTCTTTGTATAAGTGGAGTTACACGGTTTTGACTCTTTGGTATCTGGCCTCTCTTTCAGCAGTATGAGTGTCACCCATGTTGCTGCACATGGTTGTAGGTTGGTCACCCTCATCATTCTGCTGTGTGAATGTAGCACAGCTTACTCATCCATGTGACAGTGGATGGCTTTTTGGGTAGTTTCTAGTTTGGGGTGATTATGAATAATGCTGCCATGAACATTGTAGTACATGTCTTGGTGAACGTATGTACTTCGTGATGAACATATGTGTGTGTTTCTGTTGAGTACATACCAAGGAGTGGGGTTGCTCCTTTAAAGTCCTCAGTTGAATGCCTTGTACTTAAAATGAGTGATGGGGCCTTTCCTTGCTTATCTAATGCAGCTGGAAACAAAAAACCATGACCAGCTCACAGTTTGCTAACAGGTTGCATCCTCCTTACGTGTCCTTTGACTTGATGTGGACTTCCCTCCCTCCAGACCTCATTGCAGTGCTTACAAAACCCCACTCTCAACTCTTGGGGGCATTTGTGAGGGTTGCAGGACCAGATCGTTTGGGAGTCCTTCGTTGAAGGCTTGCTGCAGCCCACTCTCAAGGAAGGGCTTGTGCTAGAACACGTAGCTCATGTGCCCCCTGTGAACAAGGACCTCTGGCAGATGACTTAAATTCTACGTAGAGCCCAGTTTTCCTCACGAGAAAACTAGGACAGTTATGGTTCCTGCCTTGGGGTTAAGGTGAGCTGCTTGTGGACCAGTCCTCTTGTAAGTAAGCAGCACCCAGTCCTGTGTGGGCTGGTCCCAGGTCCCTGGCACTGCACCTGGCTGCCTCCTGAGGCATCTAGGTGGCTTTCCAGGCTTGAGAACGTGCCTCTTTCAGTCCCAGTGCTGAAAATAAAGCCAGTTTCCATATCCCAACCACTTATGTGTCAGCTGGGCAAAAGGGAGGGGACTTGTTGGGCGCCTTCAGTGGGGGTTTCAGAAATGTATTACATCGTATCCTCCTGGAGAGATGAGTTACTTTCAAATTATAATTTTTAAGTGATAAAAAACGGTTCTTTCAGATCAATGAAAGCAAGTATAACTCAAGGGTAACTTAATGAGAAGGGAAAAGAAGGTGAGGTATTTTGACAGATGCTGATTCTCAAAGAACAGGTGCACACAGTGGCTAAAAATAGTGTCATGTCATCAGCACTGGTGAAAATGTACTCAGAAAAAAAACATGAGGTTTCTTTTCCAAAATCAGGTCTTGAGTAACTTACAGGTGTGTGTGGGTAGTTTACAACATGAATTTGTAAAAACCAGGTCAGTGTGCGTTGCCTAAAAGATTGTAGTAGTAATAATATACCCACGTATATACTTTTCTTTCTTTCTTTTAAAACAAAATACCTCTTTAATTAATTTTCTGAATTCTAGCCTTCTGTAGATCCTGTGAGCTGAGAAAGGCGGGGTGGTGATAGGACAACTGTTCATGGACGGGTGAGGAAGCAGGCTCCAAGGTCAGACTTTTCCAAGGCCCCATGGCCATTTACAAGCCAAGGCAAGAGCTCAGTTCTGGTCTTTACTCCCAATGCTTTTCCTAAGCAGGGAGAATGAATTTGTAGGGTTATTCTCAGTTCATTCAGGATTATACATGCATAGTAGTCCTGAAAATTTGTATTAATTGTAATTATAGCTCAGCATACCCATCCACTTGTGAGAGGCATTGTAAAAGGAGGAGTTTAGTAGCCAGACTGGAGTCAGACTGTCTGGGACACAGCTCTGGTTCTACCAGTTATTAGCGTTACTTAACCTTTCTAAGTGCTGTTTCCTCATCTCTAAGGTCCACTTCTTGGGTTAATGCATGTAAATAAGTACACCAGCACCTCCAGGAAGGATGACTGATTTCTTCAGTCATTCATTTTACCATGAATCAAAGGAGGCCATGTAGTTGTATATGTCATTCCCCATTTAGAGATGGAAACTGAGGGTCAGACATGGAAATTTGCAAACAGACTGAAAGCCAGGTCTTCTCCAAAGGTTTCCAGGTCTCTTTCCATTAGACTCTATATGATAAAGTTGCAAATAAACCACAATGAATTTTAACCTGTTTTGTTTTACTGGTTTAATACAGGATTCTTGGGAGGTCACTTTTGGGGTATAGCAAGTATGATATTCCTTCCTCAAGGAATTCAGCTCTTATGGCTTCAGTCTTCTCTTTGGAGACTGTAGCTCCCCAGATCTGGCAGAGGCCCCAGCCATACCTAGCTTATCAGCAGCACCTGTTTCATTCTTTGTGCTCTTGCAATTCTTTGGGCCTTTTGTACTCATTTTTCTAAGACCAGACATCCCTTCTCACGTGCCTACTCTTTGCTTCTTTTGACAGCCTCCCCACTGTTGTGAACTCTGCCAGGGCCATGTCTGTTGTGCCTGGTACATGGTAGGCTGCTGTGAGACATAGCGCCCAGTCCAAAAGCCAGCATTATGCTGGCATTTCCAGAAGTTGGGGAAAGGTCTCTAGTTTAACCACTGTTATTGAATGTTGTTCTGCAGATACTAGCCAGTGAATTAGACTGGAATGAAATAAGACAAAGCACTTGACTGCTAACCAGAAGGCTGGCGGTTCAAACCCACCAGCCACTCCTCGGAAGGAAGGTTGGGCAGTCCTACTTCTGTAGTGATACTGCCTCGGAAACCCAAGGAGGGGTCGCTATGAGTCGGGGCCGACTCGACGGCACATAACGACAACAACAACATGTTTGTATACTTGGAAAGCCCAAAGAACTCAGTTTTCAAGTATTAGTGGCAGTGAGAGAATCCAGCTGGTGGTTGAGTATAAGAGGAGACAGAAAGCACTAGCTCTGCAGAACACTCTAAGCCCCATGAAAGACTTCTTGGTTGGGAATTATATCAGCAGCCTGTTGATATAATAAAGAGGTTGGTTCTAATTCACTTAGAAAAATCTAGTATCAGACACTAGCCAAGATTATAGGCAATTGTGGTAAAAAAAAAATAAGGGGATTACTTAGCCATTTAACTGTACCAGATATTAAAACCTATAACTAGAAATTACAGTAGCTTGATAGTGTTATAGGAATCAATTCCAAACAGAATAATCTAAAAGTCAGCCGTAAGATGTAAGTGAATAAACATATGGAGAAAAGATGGCTTGCTCTGTAAATGGGGTTGGGAAAACTGATTAACTGTCTGGAAAACGATCCTGAGTCTCTTCCTTAGTCTTTAGATGAACCATGACAGTACTGCTAGAAAACTGTGAACATTTTTCTAATCTTGTAAGCAGGATACGTGGTGGATACATTGCTTACACTAACTTAAGCTTTTGAGTGACATCAACATGGCCCAAATACCATAAAAGCATGTCTGACCAGAAAATATTTGCAAAAATTAGTACCGAAAATCTAGCAGAAAAAGTGAATGAAAGAGTTTTTAAACATGGAAAGGCACTCTGCTTTACTCCTAACGCAATTGGTGAATACAAGATACGTTAAGTGATGAGAGCGTGGAAGGGAGACATGCGTTAATGTACCTTTTAGAAGTAGAAGTTACTCAAACGTTTTTCTAGACATTTGACAATATGTACCAAAATTAAACTCATGTCTGTTGGTCCAGTAGTTTGATTTGCACAGATTTATCCTGTACTGTGGGTGTGCAAGAATATTCACAACAGCACTGTTGTAATCATTTAAATGAAGTTTGGACATCCACGTAGAAGGAATGCCATGAAGCCAATAAAACAGTTTTGTAATGCTCTGCCGACCTTGGGACCTTTAATGGACTTAAATTAATGGCCTGCCGTGTGGTTTGGTAACATCGGGACTGTGCCTTATTACTTGTCAGCCTTGGGCTTGTCAGCCTCAGCAGCCAGCAGCTGTCTGAGTGAAAAAAAGCCTCCAGCTTCAGTGGGCTGGGAGCAGGAGGCAGAGCTGAAGCCCGAGGTTCCCAGCCCCTAGAACCTGGCACTTTGAACTCGGACTTAAAACCTCCAAACTGTAAGAGAATAAACTCCTGTTTGTTCAAGCCATCCCATTTGTGATATATTCTTGCAGAGTGGCATCAGGTAAACAGAACACTCAATGAAGACGAATCATGTACTTGTACAGTATTGATTATTTTTTAGTTTATTTAGAAATATTCATTGCTTACTTTTTGTCACTTAACTCCATAGATTTCTAAGTTGGTGTGCATGTAACCGATGTAAACTCTTCCCTGGTTGTCTGGAACTGTGTTAGTGGTGTCTCTTAGTAGCTCTCACCATTGAGGAGCGTGCTTGGGAAGGGTTGATTTGTTTAGCTAGAAGAAACTATAAGACAACCAGGCTTGGAGAAACTAACCACTGTTTATTTTGATCTGGACAGGTCTGGAGGCCAGTCACTGCCACGTTTTACTTCCCTGTGGGCCCGGGAACTGGATTTCTTTACTTGGTCAATTTATATTTCTTGTATCAGTATTCTACACGACTCGAAACAGGTATGTTATCTGTGGTTGTTCTAAGTGTTTCTCTATAATTTAACTTGAAGGTATGTTTACTTACTTGGAGGAATTTTGAGGGCAGTTAGGTTATACATAAAAGGGCACATTGATAGTAAGTGCCCAGTGAGTAGTAACTATGTCCCGACTGTACTAGACACTTAGATTATTGGGGTGTGAATTGTCACAACAACCTCATAAGGTCTAAGTAGCAGTGTCATCATTTTATAGGTGAAGAAATAGATTAGAGCTAGACCCAGCTTGCTCTTCCCAGTGGCTGAGATGTGTGTCCTCAGTTTGACAGCTCACTCATATTGGTCACAGAGAAATCCTTGTCCTTTAATTGGGTTACACTGTATCCATCTCCGTAATAGAAATTGAAAAGCACCACTTTATGGAATTAAATGTCTGTACTTAACCTCTGTAATGAAACACTCAAGTTTAAAATATATTGCCACGATTTAATAATATGGCAGTTTATCACATATTGGCTACCCTATACATTGTTGTTACAAGGGGCTCTGGTAGCACACTGCCTAAGGCATCTGACTGCTAGCCAGAAGGTTAGTGGTTCAAACCCACCAGCCACTCTGTGAAAGCAAGACTGGGCAATCTACTTCTGTAAAGATTTACCACCTCGGAAACCCATTGGGGATTGCTATGAGTCAGAGTGGACTTGATGGCATTGGGTTACACAGTGTTACAGATAAGCAATAAAAAGTCTTAAAAGTTTCTTACTGAATTGTAATTTATTTCCAACAGTACCTTATATATTGTTGTATGTTGCTTACACCAAGAAGCAGTGAATCGATATGCTCTATTAAAATGTGAAAATCATTCTGCTGTTAAGCCTAAATGGCTTTGGGAGGGTTGGCCGACTCCAGAGACTGTAAGCCTGTGGCTATTACTCAGGGCAGAGACATCGGAGCCATCTTTAATCTAAGCCACTGCTCACAAGTGTGAGAACTATTGTTTGGTCTCACAACTGCAGGGAACTGTTGGTTGGTCTCATAACTGCAGGTCTCACAACCCCAACTTCTGGAAATGCCATCTTTAATCTAAGCCAGTGCTCACAAGTGTGAGAACTGTTGGTTGGTCTCACAACTGCAGGGAAGTACAAGGATAGACATTTGGTATCAAATATAATTTTTCCTTAAATTGGCAGTTGCTCCTAGTTGCTTTTCAAGAAGGAAAAATCATTGCATTAATACAGAGTAGTGTTGTTGTTGTTGTTATGTGTCATAGGGTCATAGAATGTTACTCTTGAAAGGAACCTAGCCCTTTCCCCTAGTGTCACAGAAGAAGAGCAGAGAGTCTAGGAAGTGAAGTGACTTGGCTGAGGTAAAGCTGACAACCAGGACTTGCCACCATAGCAGTGGGCTGACTCCTTACATTTACCAGAATGTGTGATTTTCATTCTCCCTTGCCTGTCCTGGACCTGATTATGATGCTGTCTTGCTTGGCGTTCTTCCCCTCTTGTGTAATCTAGTAGAGGATTAAGTTGTGGGAATAATATTTTTAATATCAACATTAAAATGCTCAGTTAAGTATGATGATCTGTAACCAGTTTTAAAAGATTTTATTATGGAAAATTTTCAAAGACACACAAAAGTAGAGAGAAAGGTTAAGAACGCACTTTTTCCCTTTTGCATTATTGAGAGAAAATTCATCTAACATAAAATTGACCATTTTTACCATTCTGAAGTGTGCATTTCAGTGGCACTAAGTACTTGGTTCACATTCACAAGGAGCTCTGGTGATGTAGTGGTTAAGGCATTGGGCTGCTAACCAAAAGGTCAGTTGCAAACCCACTAGCTGCTCCACAAAAGATGAGACAGTCTGCTTCTGTAAAGAGCTACAGCCTTGGAAACCCAGTGGGAGTCGCTTTGAGTCAGAATGGACTCAATGGCACTGAGTTTGGTTGGTTTGGAAGTACATTCACAGTGTTGTGTAACCACTACTACTATCTAATTCTAGAACATTTCATCACCCCTAACAGAAACGCTGAACCCACCAATCCCTGGCAACCACTAGTCTACTTTCTACTTTCTGTCTCTGGATTTTCCTACTCTAGGTGTTTCATATAAATAGAATTTGATCTGGCCTTCCTTCTTTCACTTAGCATAGTGTTTTCAAAGTTTACCAGTGTTGTAGCAGTGTGGACGTGGATCACGGTAAACCCCTTTTTAACCATCACTCACTCACATTCCATAGTTCTCTCATGGCCACTTTTATTTTCTCTATATCCTTGTCTGTCCCCACCCCTGATTATTTGAAACAAGTGCCAGACATGATTCTGTCTATAAATATTTCAGTATTTATTTGCCTCTGAAATATAAGGACCTAAATTACAGTGATTCTGTGACCACTTTTTATTTATAACTTGTCTTCTCTTGGTTACTTAAGAGCCTTGAAACCATTTACCCATCTCTGCTTACCTATCAGGTAATTCAACTGATTTGGGATCTTATTACCCTACTTGCATACACTTAAGGTACATCTGTAGGACACTTTCTGTCATTTGCTCTGATTCTTAAAAGGCACCCCCTTTCCCTGCTTCCCATCCACAGAACAAAATGTTTGTTGTTTTGGAACATAAGGTTTATTTGAAGCAGTTATTCTTTATGCACATAGGGAGACCATTCTGGTTCCAAAACAAGCAAATGGCTTGAAATAGGCTAGTTACAGTGAGGCTTATGAGGGGAAAGGGAGGGAGAAGAATGGAAGATCAACCATTGGTTGATTGTAACATGATCAGTTGAACCCTGCTCTCCCTTTTTTACTGAGAGCAACTGATACCAGATTACAGGGTGGTCTTTGACTTGGTGGCTAAAACTTTGGTGTTGTGGGTAAGAAAAAAAACCTTCAAATCAAAGGAAGATGTCTGTTATTAATTTTTTCTTTGACATCTCCCCCTCTTGATCATGATTTGATTAGAATCTTTGCTCAACTAAGTGTTGGCCAGGCACCAGCTAGGTACTGCTTCATGGGGTAACTTTTTATGAAACATGTTATTTTGGTTGTTTCCTTAGCTGCTTCTCTTTATTGTTCCTCCATTCAGATGGAGGTCTGTTGCTGTACCTT